CCCCAAATAACAAAGTTTCTAAGTGTTGCCATCCTTAAAAACTAATATTAAAAATAATAAGTGTTGCCACCCTCAAAAAACTAATAAATTAAATAATATTTAAAAAAACGAAACTAAATTAAAAACAGAAACCGAAACTAAAAATATATTAGGCTTAAGAAAAAAAGAAATAAGCTCCCCATGACGCTGCAGACGAAGTTTCGATTTTCAGGCGGGCAGAAATAAGCAAGCGGGCAGAAATAAGCAACTTCCGGTTTGTATGTGGGCAGAAATAAGCAACTTCCGGTTTGTATGTTGGCAGAAATAAGCACCCCTTGACTGCCCATCACTTCCGCCGCATATATGCCTGCTCTTACTACTTACAATTGACCCCACTCTCCCATATCCAACTTCAAGGATCTAAGTTGCATTATTAGTTGGGCCTTGTTAGAGCGATAAAATTCTGGTTGTTTAACTGTATTAGGTGAAATCAGTTAAAAAGCCATTTTTCTCAAAGTTAACAGTTTGAATACCAATTTATTTATGTTTATTTGACTGTTTTGTTTGAATATGGAACAATTAACTCTTTGTTCTGGTCCGTTAATTTATTGTAATGTTAAAGAAATGCGGGATAGCAATCCTGTTTCCCATAGCACTAACGCTAATCATGCTTCATGGTGTATACAAATTGTATAATTAGATCAGCGTTATTATTAACATAATACAAACTCTAAACAAAATCTCTCTGTTATTATCTTTCATTTAATTAATTTATTTTTGTATTCAATAAATAGAACATTGATAAGATGCAAACTGTTCTACAGCATATTTATTTATTATTAAATGAAATAAAATATATTACTTGAGAAATATCGTAATAGTGAAAAACTAACCACGTACCCCCCGGAAAAAAAATACGAACCTTGATATTTAGATATATTTTTTAATTGATAGAATATATGTGCGAGTACTAAAGAGAAGTATTTTTAATTTTATATTCATGGAAACATATCAATTTACATTTTAAATTTGCATTAATCTGTCCTTTACTAATCATTATCAGTAATCAGACTTAATCTATATTTTATATATATTTTTACACTTTCCGTAATATGTTTTTTAGAATTACTAAATATATTTTTAATATCTAAATCAGACATAAAGGAACCTACATTTTGATCTTATCTCTTCGACTTCTGGTGGAGGATCCTGATGACCTTTAAACTCGTGTAACCCAAAATCAGTGATTTTCAACATCCATCTGCTGTCGATCACACAATTTGAAGATTTCAGATTTCCATGAGAAATGATATCGCTCTCATGGATATAAATAATGCCCTGCAACAATTAAGGACAACTATTTTTAAAACCAGTTAATTTCATTCAATTGGAAAGATGCGCAATGTTGCTATGATAAGTTTCTCAAGTACGTTTTCAAATTTGAAACCTCATAATAAAATTCCAAAAACGAATAAATCAAATTAGTGTGGCTGTGATGCTGTTAAAATATGTGGTAAAATTAAGCTAAATAGTTAAGATTAAGCTAATTGCAAATGATAAATTTTGTTTTATAACAATAAAAAAATATAAAAAATTTTTATATCTAACCCTTGAAAACAGGGTGTAGGTTATATGCAATTTATGATTTTTAGAGCATTTCGATAAAAATAAGCGAACATTATTTTTTAGGCATTGTTACAAAAAAAAATCTGTTAAAGAGAAAATATTATAGACTGTTTAGACAAAAATATTCATTTTATTTTCTTCGAAAATGTTATTTTATGTTTCTGAATATTTAATTATTTCTATCGCTCTAAGGGATACGGTAAAATATTAGCCACATATACGGTACACGGTTAAAATAATAGTAAAAATAATAGCCACTGTTAATCGAGTTATTAAGATGTTTGAAAATGTCACGAACTTTAGTTTCCCTTTTCAAAGCTTATTAAAAATGTAAGAAAAAATTATAAGAAAAAGAAAATTTTAACAAAGCGAATTTTTTAGAAATAACGATAATTTACCTTTATAAGGTCCACCACTAAAGAACCTTTAAATGTTATATCCAGGCGCAGATCCTTATTCTGAAGTACGTCCTTAAAATATACCAATAATTAAATAAATAAATAGGAAAAATGTGGAGAAAAAAGTATGAAGTAACCTCAAAAAAATTATAAGTCCAAAAACACAAAATCTTTATTAAAGAATAGAATTATCTAGCATTTAAGAAAATTTATTAAATATAGTGCGACCCACATATAAATAAAACAAATATAAACAAGTCAGTGATTTTTCATCGTGTGTTTCCACTCATAAAAAATTCTCGCACGCGTAGAATTTAGTTGTCATTTTACAATTTTTAAGTAATCAGACTCGGTTTAGCCCAAGAAGCAGTGGTCTGTAACTGTTTTTTTTTATTACTATAAGCGTTTGATGCACTGCAGAAGGATAGATAAAAATTGGAAAAAAAAATTCATTTCTAATAAGAACTTGCTTGTCGCTTTGCAAACAAAAAATCCATTTCTGTAATATCAGCATTATATTTTACCACGTAGTAGTTAGTTTAGCCCAGTGGCTGCGTGTTAACGTGTCGCGCTTCTGTGAACATGTTCAATTCTTGGCCTGGGTAAGACTTGCTTAGAAATTTATCCCTTCACTTGATCGCTAAAATGAGTACCAAACGTGCTTGTGTACTAAGCACTGGAGATTCCGCCTTCGGTTGCTGACCACGCAACTGGAACATCTGCTCCTGCACCCAACATAAATAAAATGGAATGAGCACAGAAGACCTTGGCCTAACATGTGCTGTCACAATTCGGAGTTTAATTTAGTTTAGTAAGCTCATTTTATTTCAATTGATTCACTTTTATAAAAATATTTTTCCCTCAAAAATTATCATTATTTTGTCTGTGTTATTTGGTAGCAAAGTCCCATAGAGAGCAGTTAGTAGTATCTATTTACCCTAATTTTATATATATTCTTTTTTATTAGTACAGCAGTTTGACAAGACTGAGAAAGATTCGATTTAGTATAATAAAAGCTTTTTATTAATGAAATTGCAATAAAATATTGACATATCATTTTTTTAAGGTCTTACTTGTAGACTTCCCCTCATGCAATAATTAGCCAGTATGCAGATGTTAGGAGGCTCTGTACATGCTCCTATAAAAGGGTTGATGTTTTCATGGCGCATTTCCCTAATCTGCAAAAGAAATTTTTTTTTTACAAGCAGTATGTTTAACACGCGACTATCATTTTCAATAATACAACACTAAACAAATTTTGTAAGAATTACACTTAAAGGAATTAAACGCTTGGTATTATGAGTAGTTTGATGGAATATGAAAGCATTGCTCCACCACCACGAAGCATTGCTCCATAAGCATCGAGAAGCATTGCTTCACTACCACGCTAAATAAAATCTCAACTCTCTCTGAAGACATTTGATCTAATCTTTGGAATTTTTTAATTTTAATTTTTATAATTTGAAGAGCCCACTAAAATATACTCTTCAATTAAAAAAGCGATAGTTTAAGTTAAATCAAGTCTGAAATTATAATTAATATTATTCTAGCATGATTTTTGAAATATTTTCACTTAGACATATCCCCCTACTTGGATTACCTTTTTCGGATTCATATTTTTGATTCCTAAGATATCAAGAAGAGGCGCAATCTGCGCAACTACTAATACAGCTCGTTTGTTTAAAAATAATCCCAAGCCAAAAGATTTAAGATTTTTTCAAACTTTAAAGTGATAATTACAACATCAGTCTTATCTTTTAGCTTACAAGGATTAAAATGTGTAAGTGTACAAAATTCTATTAATAACAAAACATCACCTGTATCATTTCTTTCCTGAGAGTTCTGGTAAGATCTATGTTTTTCTTATAGACGTGATAAATATAAACAGCATTTTGCTTGTAACAACCAACTCTGTATTGATGTCGATCCCACAAAATGATGTCATCTGCTTTTTGCGTAAGAACTTCACTTTCATTTTCCATGTCCTAAAAGAAGACACTGACTCTTATAAATTTAAACTATCCTTTATATTTTACTTTTAAAAAATCGATGCTTTGAGTAATAGTTTAAGCTTATCGCAACATTTCGCACTAAATAATCAGCATGAGGTTTATCGTTTTTGCAGGTTTTCCCGAAAATTGCTCAAGAAATAACTTTAATAAGGAAATTGGGACATTTCGCAAATTTAGGTTAGTTTTCCGTACTCTCCCGAACGAAAAATTTCAAGCTACTGCGCATGCGCACTTCTAGCGCTCATGGGCCCGAGGAAAAATATTAAACTTATGTAAGTGAAATTATGAGATTTTGCAAATATCCGCAAGTTAAAAACGCTAACGTAGTAGAATATCATTTTAAGTTTAAACAGAAAATCAAAACAAAGATTTACAATGAACGTAGACTATCTCCTTAAAGCTATGATATGCGGTTCAAGATGCTTTTCTCTACGTAAAACTACAATTCTGGGAGCAGAAAAAAATTTTGAAGTGAATTCTGCGATAAAGAATCTCAGAATTCATCTCTTATTATTATTATTATTATTTTATTAATGTTTTAAAAAATATTGAACTTGTATTAATTATTTAACTTGTCATTAACTAAATTGTATAGTTAAAATATATATAATTTATAACCTTAAATTAGCTAAAATATATCTAGTTTCTTTTGGAACTAGTGCAACTAGACAACCATAATGTTTAAAAAAAAACCAATGAAACTATTTTTTATTGAATAAACGAATTGTTGCTAGATCACACGATTCATGTCTAAATTTCATCAATCTTCAGATTCGTATTACATTTCCACATTTTTTGTTCGAACTTCGGCTTGAACAGAAAACAACATTTAACAGCTATAAACAGCTTGTTGTTTTTGTAGCCAACAAATCAACAAGTCAAGCCAACATAACGTAAGCATGAGTAGGCACAGTTGCTTCAGTCTTACGTACGAAAGCGTATGGAAGCTAACGCAAAAGTGCGAAATCTCATTAATATACTAAAAGAGATTTTTTTTATGAAGAATTTTTATTATTGCATGTAAATATATGTATAGCATATGATATAAGATGAGGTATGAAATAGCCTATTGTATAAATGGATTATACAGTTTTCTTGGCATTTACGAAATATTTAGTTAAGAATTCCGATGGCTAATTTCCATAAATGTGGCATCTTGATTTATTTATCATTAAATGGATGTAATGTATTTGTAAGCAGAAACTTGAGATTTAAAAAAAGGAACCACACTGTGTTCAATTTCTATTATTACTAATACTTAAAAAGAGGTCATATGAAATCTTTAGTAAAGAATTCCATTAACAATTTTACATAAATGTGGCAGTCAAACTTATATTTCATGGATTGGAGATTATCGATACTTTTTTAAAAAAAATCTGGTGTTTGAAAAAAGAATCTCAGAATGTTAAATTCCTAGGCAACCAATTCTGGGTATCTAAACGAAGAATTCCAAGATAAAAACGTGATTCAACAAAACATTGATCAACGATGAAAAACACTTTCATGCAGCCCTTCAATTTTTAATAACCCCGAAGTGACAGCTGCCCCGCTGTCACATTCTTTTCGTTGACAATAATTTATTGCCCAAATAGCTTAAAGAATTTTGAGATGCTCTTGGCAACAAATTAAATACCTTATGAAAACGTTTTTAGGTTCTTTTCTGAGCTTTATTTCTCGTACTAGTTTCATTTACAGTATCAATTCCCAAACCTCCTCTGGCGATTCAATTGAAAAACGGTTGATAGCCGTAGCAAAAATTTCTTCTCCCAACTCAATTTTTTTTCCTCTTAAAATACTTCAAAACTATTTTTAAATATTTTAATATAGTTTTTTAATAGTTTATTTAAATGTTATGTTTAAAAAATTAAATTTTAAGTGCTACGAGAATCTGAATTTATTTTATAAAAAGGATTTAATCAAAATAAATTCATATTGAAACTAGCTTTGAATAATATTTTCAAAAATCGTCATGAAAACTTTGATTTCTTTCAACAATAACATTTCCATAGAAACATCAGTCTTGTTGATCTTTTATTTCAAGATGAGAGAAAAATGAAACTGAATTGATCAAGTTTTGAAACTCAACACCATACTGAACACCACAGATTTTCTACAGCAGCAATTGCAATAGAGATGTTACTGTCTTTTCAAATGTAATTTTAAGAAGATACTTTAAATTTCTTTGCATTTTTAATACGCAATTTATTCATTGTTCTTTTAGTCAAAAATTTCTAATGTATTTAACTACTTAAGTATACTTACCAACAAATTATTTTTTAGTTTGGGCAACTCTCCATTTTCATCGCATTTAACAACAAGAACATCTCTCATGTCTATCTTCCACAGTAAGCAGGCTAACTTGGTTTCATATCTATAGTGTCTGTAGTAAAAAATAAAATAATTGAAAACTTAAGACAAGCTTGATTCAACTTAAAAGAAGTATAGAATCTTTAATCATAATATTTAGAAAATAATAAAAGACATGTTTGAATAAATTTTAAAAATTACTTGATTTCCTTAAGACAATTTTAAAAAATACGAGTAAAGATATTAATAATGCTTGTTTATTGTAAACGTAAAAGCTATAATTTTTTTACGATTCCTTATATGCACTTTCATCATACATTAGAGATGGATTAGGTTGCTTTATTTTTGATTTCTATAATATAACATACATTTTATCTATTTTCTCAGTAGGATTTTATGAAGAAAAGGTATGGATTCAGATTTACACTTTCTGGAGTTATAAGTATTTTATGGACAAAAGTTCTTTGTCAAGCGTGTTCAAAAGCTCTTTGTCAAATATCTTCAAAAGTGATTCCAGGAAGAAATATAGTAGAACGAGTTTTCTATTTCTATTGTCCAACAATAAGAAAAATATGTATTGTCATTTTTCATAAGAGTAGGGAAAATAGAGAATTTGTTATGTAAAGGAGACATAAGTTTAAAAAAAATGATTATGGGAATTTACATGAAACAGTGATGGTTCAAGAAATATTTTATACCCTGCATACCAATACTTAAAAATTTTTAAGTATTGGTATGCTTATAAAATTTTTTACTTAACAAAATTTTGTCTCGTGAGATAAAACCATTGAAACGTTTCGTAGTAATCGTGAGAGGAAAGCATGTCACAGCAATAGGTTTTCCTTCTGCTTTCTTATTTAATATATAATATATATCCATATATATATAACACAACGTTAGCGATAAATTTCGATCAAAAATTGACTTCATAACTATTTTCTTTTTATTGCTAATGTTATGAAAGCTAAAATACACTTTTAAAAAACTGATAGAACAAAATTAATTTCTGCAAAAACTTTTTTTTGTAATATGTAGCTTATAATGCATAGATGCTAAAAATATAAAAATCTCAATTATGAATTTTTGAATGAGTAGTGTCAATTA